TTACAGGCGTAAGCCACCGCTGCTGGCTGCAGTGTTTATCTCACATGTATGATTGATGTCTCACGTCTCCCTAACACGTATAAAACCAAGCTGTGCTCCAACCACCTCAGGCACACGTCGGGACCTCCTGGGGCTGTGTCACGGGCACGGCCTCAACCTCGGCAAAATAAACTTTCTAAATTAACTGAGACCTGCCTCAGATTTTCTGCATTCGCAAATAGAACAGCCTCGGTGGTCTTCAGAGGTGGCCAGGTGTCCCTGGTGGTCTGCAAGGCTGGGTGCACACTATGGAAAGACAGGCGAGGACCCCAGCTGTCCACCGCCCTGGCTGAACATGAGGCTTTATACAAGCAAAAAGTAAAAGCCAAGGCCAAATTGTAAACTGCCTGAATTCCAAATGCACCCACATCCCACACAGCACCATCAGCAGAGGCTGGAGGCCCTAGTGGTTCAGAATGTTTAAGCACAATATCGAACCAGTAATTGTAAAAGGCAAAAGATTTATACGATCTGAAGAGAAAGCAGAGTATTCAAACCAGTAATTGTCCATTAAGCTACACTGACCCCGGGGCCAGTCTTAGGAAGCCAGACTTAAATGTTATAGAAAAGAATTCTTTTTTTTAACTTACAAACACATCTGTAGACATAGCCTGCAGGGGAAACACCCTGCAGAAATCATCCGAGCAAGTCACTAAGCCAACGAAAACCACCACCAACCAGTGGGTTCGAATCCAGAGTTTCCATTCTACAATATATTATCTAAAGTAGTATCAATTTAAAAATTATGAGACATACAAAGAAACAAGAACATGGCCAGTCGTGGTGGCTCACGCCTGTAATCCCAGCACTTTGGGAGGCTGAGACGGGCAGATCACTAGGTCAGGAGATCGAGACCATCCTGGCTAACACGGTGAAACCCCGTTTCTACTAAAAATACAAAAAATTAGCCGGGCGAGATGGCGGGCGCCTGTCGTCCCAGCTACTGGGGAGGCTGAGGCAGGAGAATGGCGTGAACCTAGGAGGTGGAGCTTACAGTGAGCTGAGATCGCACCACTACACTCCAGCCTGGGTGACAGAGTGAGACTCTGTCTCAAAAAAAAAAGAAAAAGACTGGGCACGGTGGCTCACGCCTGTAATCCCAGCACTTTGGGAGGCTGAGGTGGGCAGACCACCTGAGGTCAGGAGTTCGAGACCAACCTGACCAACATGGTGAAACCCTGTCTCTACTAAAAATGCAGTAATTAGCTGGACATGGTGATGGGTGCCTGTAATCCTAGCTACTTGGGAGGCTGAGGCAGGATAATCACTTGAACCTAGCAGGTAAAGGTTGCAGTGAGCAGAGATTGCGCCATTGCACTCCAGCCTGGGCAACAGAGTGAGACTCCGTCTTAATAAAAATAATAATTAGGCCGGGCACAGTGGCTCACACCTGTAATCCCAGCACTTTGGGAGGCCGAGGCGGGTGGATCACGAGGTATATATTTCATATATATATTGGAAATTAAAGTGGTAGAGTGGAAAATATCCATTTAACACAACAAAGGCAATAACGGAAGAACAGAGGAATAAAAAAATACATACGAAATACATAATTTTTGTAAAAATACAGAAATTAGCCGGGCGTAGGGCTAATTTAGTAGAAACCCCGTCTCTACTAAAAGTACAAAATTTATTAGAGTATGGTGGCGTGAGCCTGTAACCCCAGCTACTTGGGAGGCTGAGACAAGAGAATCGCTTGAACACGGGAGGCAGAGGTTGCAGTGAGCCAAGATTGCACCACCTCACTCCAGCCTGGGTGAGAGAGTGAGACTCTATCTCAAAAAAAAAAAGAAAAAGAAAAGAAAAGAAAAGAAAGAAATTAGCCGGCCGTGGTGGCAGGACTCTGTAATCCCAGCTACTGGGAAGCCTGAGGCAGGAGAATCTCTTGAACCAAGAAGGCGGAGGTTGCAGTGAGCTGAGATCACTCCACTACACTCCATTCAGGGTGACAGAGCAAGACTCTGTCTCAAACAAAACAAAGCAAAAACTAAACAAACAAAAAAACCAGTGGCATATGTAACTCTAACTGTATCAATAATACTATTAAATGGTAATGAATTGAACACTCCAAGTAATAGGCCAAGATTTTCAGAGTGGGTTAAGAAATAAACAAGATCCAACTATATGTTCTTTACATTCTAAACGCCTTATTTTTTATTTTATTTATTTTTTTGAGACAGACTTTCACTCTTGTTGCCCAGGCTGGAGTGCAATGGCACAGTCTTGGCTCGCTACAACCTCTAACTCCTGGGTTCAAGTGATCCTCCTGCCTCAGCCTCCCAAGTAGCTGGGATTACAGGCATCCACCACTATGACTGGCTAATTTTTGTATTTTTAGTAGAGATGGGGTTTCACCATGTTGCCCAGGTTGGTCTCGAACTCCTCCCTGACCTCAGTGAGTCCACCCCCCTTGGGTCCGCCCAAACAGTGCCTGGGATTACAGGCGTGAGTTTACTCAGCCCAGGCCACTATGTGGTGCGTCGAACTACTGACCTCAGGTACTGCCCCGCCTCGGCTCCAAAGTGCTGGGACATTCACAAGTGTGACCACCTCACCTGGCCGCAATCTACACACTTAGACTCCACAGACATCAACAACTTGAAAGTGAAAAATGAGAAAAGATATACCCTACAAACATACCCCAAAATGAACTGGAAATGGGTCATATCTAGTATACAACAAATCAGACATAAGATAATATATCACTAGAGACACATACAGACCGCTTTCCTTTTCTATCTTTTCTTCTTTCTTTTTTTTTCTTTCCTGCCGCAGGGTCTTCCTCTCAACTCCTAGGCTACAGGAGTGCCAGTGATTAACAATGGCTTCACTCTAGCACTACAACTTCCTGCGTCCAGCGGTCCTCCTGCTCAGCCTCTCCAAGGAGCCTGGACCATAGATAGGACGGAACTTTAACCCCATGATGAAGACACATACCACAAAAGTACAAAACTCATCTAAAAAAAAAAAAAGCGTAGATTAATTTGGATTTGAGATCTTTCTTCCTTTTTCTTTTTTATTTTTTTTCTTTTGAAGACGGATCCCTCGCCTGTCGCCAGGCTGGAGTGAACCTGCCGATCTCCAGCTCACTGCAGAGCTCTGCCTCCGGGTTACGCCATTTCTCGCCTCAGCCTCCGATACTGGACT